ACCCCGGGGGTGGGGGCCTTGAACAATCCTAGCTGCTCCCATGATGTGCATTAATGGTGTAAGGAATAGCGGATGAGTCCAGAAAAAATCATCCTTTTCAGGCATCCTTTCAACAGCCCCCCCCAGCCCCACCCCCTCCACCTAGGTCTGCCTCTCCGTCCCACCAATCAGGCCTAGTTTTGAGTTTCATCTCCTGGGAGCCTCTCTGCCTCCTAACAAGCAGAGCGGAGGCAGGAGGTGCCTCAGGGCTGGGGAAGTGGGGAGAGGTGGGGGAGTCCGACCCCTCCCTCCGTGTGCCTCTTCGGCTGAGGAATAAAGATGCTGGACTAGCCCATCCAGTTTGTCGGGAAAAGGGCTTTAAAAACAAACACAACAGAAGACACTTTTCCTTTATGTCCCTGGAGAGCAGGGGCTCAGCGAGGCAGTGGGTTACCAGCCCATGGAGATAGAGATGTAGCCAATCCATTCTGGTGGGGATGGAACATGCTGGTGAGTGGGCCATAGGAGGCAGCCAGCTGCCACAGGAGGGGGTTGGTTTTCCAGACTCCTGACCAGCTTTGGGGACTGACCCAGGTGGAAGGGACAGGCCCAGGCCAGCACCAGCCAAGAACTAGTGGCAGGGGAGCCGGTGGCAGGAGGCCGGGCCTGTCCACTTCCCGACCATGCTGACCGGGAGCCCATCGTGTCCCCTGGGTGTGGGTGATGTGAGGGGCAGCCCGAGAAATCTTTTACCGGCAGCAACCTGCATGCTGCTGTCAGGTTTGGGTGTGGAGGCTGGGAACCAGGGTTTCCCTCCGTCTGGGCTGAGCCCACGGTTTGCAATTGTAGCCCGACAGCCAGATCATCCCTGTGTGGTTTCTTTGGAGCCAGACGGCACTGAAAGACAAATGCTAGTGTGAGCCCAACCGCAGAGGCAGGCTCAGCGGGGCAGGGCGGCTTCCTCAGAACCAAAATGAAGCCAGCAAGGAGGGGGCAGGCGCCAGGCCACGTGCCCTAGGGGCTGGAGTCAGACAACTCAGGGGTAACACTGGGCATCAGAACCCGGGATAGCAGGAGGCCTAAGCTAGGGGTCTAGAGCAGGGGTGGGCAAACTTTCTGACTCGAGGGCCACAATGGGTTCTTAAACTGGACCGGAGGGCCGGGACAAAAGCATGGATGGAGTGTTTGTGTGAACTAATCTAAATTCAAAGTAAACATCATTACATAAAAGGGTACGGGCTTTTTTTTTTTTTTTTTTTAGTTTTATTCATTTCAAAGGGTTCGGATCCGGCCCGAGGGCCATAGTTTGCCCACGGGTGGTCTAGAGGAACCAGCAGGGTGACAGTCACTCAGACCTGGCTTAGTGTCTCCCTCTCTAAACTGCTGATACAGGAGCCTGGTCACTCTTGGATAGAGCCATGCCGGGCTCTCTGGGGGAGTTGGGCAACATCTCCTGGCCTCACCCACGTGGTGACAGGAGCACCCCCGGCTGTGACAACCACAGATGTCCCCAGACATTGCCCAGTGTTCCCTCGGGGCACAGTCCCCACCGGAGGACCCCTGTGCCTTCTGCTAACTGGACCCAGACAGGGTGCGGTGACGCCCAGGAAACCACCAGCGAGACGTTTTCTGTTAAAAGTCAGAAGTGTTTTGTCTTGTTTTAATATCTCATCAGCTTTACAGGGTTACAATTGTCTTAAATATTTCTGAAATTTAAATACAATCTGCACAATAATGTTATAAAATGTAAACTTTCAGTGTTCTTTTAAATTTCAAAATCACACCTCCCCCCCCCCTTTTTTTGGTCTTTTGCCCCCACCCCGCTAATACCTGAATGTTCTGTAGAACTGAAATCCTTACCAGCTGCCCCACCGGCCACAGTGACTGACAGGCGAGGCCCGGCCAGAGGTAGAGTAGTTTATAACTTTTTAAAAAGTTTTTTTCCTTTAACCTGAGTTCAGGCGTGGTCCCCACGCCATCGGACAAGCCCCAGAGAAACTGAAATTTCACATGTCAGGAATGAAAGGCTGAATTCATTCGTGTTTGCCAAGAAAAAAATGCACAAGCAAGCAAGAGAAAAACGACAGAAGTGGGCAAAAGTCATAAAAGCAAAAAAAGTGACTGTACAAATGCACAACTACTAAAAACTAACTGCTGCCCAGCGCCTCTGCCCGCCCCTTGCCCGACAGCTCCACAGCCCTGTGGCCACTTTAGGGGTCACAAGGAAGATCTAGAAGCAGCCGGTAACAAACATCTCCAGAGCAGTTAGGTTAGCCCCTGAGCCCCTCTTGACCCTGAGTTTGGGACTCCTACCTACTCTGTGCAGCTAAGCCCCACCCGTTCCAGAACGAACAGTGCACAAGCAAGCCGCTGACAGAGACGGCTGTCCCGTCCCCACCCAGTTTGCATAAAGGGGTGCTGAGCTGCACCCCAGAACCCTCACCAACAGGAGGTTGCCCTGAGCTGGGATTGGCAGAGGGGACTCGAGACAGAGGCCACAGCACTGCCCAGCCTGGAGCTTCCCCTCATCTTTCCACCTCTCCCCCTGCGCACGGCTCCCCCAGGGCTGCCCCCCCCCACCCTGGCCCCCTACAATCACCATGAACAATAGGCATGCCCTGAGTTAGATCTGGGGGCTATATCACCCACAAGACACGACGCCCAACACACGCAGGCACACACACACACACACACACACACACACACACACACACTCATGCGACCAGAGACAGCACCCAGGCAGACTCTCAGGTGGACACGCCCACGACGCAGGTGGGAGGGGACGGGTACTGGTACACGCTGAAACCCTGAGCCAGCCAAGGAGGGCAGGCTGAGAGGGGGTTTGGCATCAAGAGTCAGACCCGAGGTAGAAATAACCAGGCAGCAGACACCCCCATGTGGGCCCCACGTGGCTCCAGGGGGTCAGGTCAGGGGAGAAGAGAGGAGCATCTGGTATTGCTGCTCTTGGGCAAAAAGGTCCCCCTCCCACAGTGATTGTACTGCTGCAGTAAGAAATGGGGAGGAGACTCTTGCATAAGGAAAAACAGAGAGGAAACCCCACCTGCCTGCAGCCACCACTGCCCTGGGCGGTGGAGGGTGTCCTCGACCCTGAGACATACCAACGAAAGGGGCTCTCCCCAAGGACACCACAGCTTCACACCCAAGCAAGCCAGACTGGTGGGGGGGTCAGGGCGCTCTCCCCTCCGAGGTCCCCAAGGCCACAAGATGACCCTGGGCCAGGGATCACTGGATCAGGACTCTGGGAGGCCACCAGATGGGGCACTGCCATTTCTGGCCTCGTTAAGCCAGGCCAGGCTCCCGGGGCCCAATTAGAGTTTCCAGGCAAACTCAGTGCGTGAAAGGAAAGGGCGCCAAGTTGTGGGAGGCACCATTTCAGTCAAGGGCAGGGTGGCCAAGGAAGTCCCCGAATCCCGCCTGGGCTTTGGACGGAGGGTCTGCCTCATGGTGAAGACCATCCCCCACCCAGCCCTCCCGCTGATGACCACCTTCTGACCTGGGGTAAGTGGTCACGTTGGGAGTGGGTGCACCTTCCCATGGGCCTCTATTTAGTTCCTTTAGTTACAGCAGATGTGGCCTTGCAAGGGGCCAAGAGACAATGAAGGGACAAAGTGAAGGAGATGGGAAGGGGTGGGGTGTTCAGGATGACATGGCCTCAAAAACCTCAATCTGAGCGAAGCCTGGCTCACCCCAGCCCCCAAATATCCGTATGTCTTTAAAAGCAGCCCTTTCAAAAGCGTTGGCGGTCTAGTGATGAGCATAGGTGCCTTCCAATGCAGCCCTTTCGGCCCTGCCGGGGCGGCTCAGTGGTTGAGCGTCGACCCAGGACCCAGGAGGTTAGATTCCCAATCAGGGCACATGTCTGGGTTGTGGGCTCAGTCTCTAGCAGGGAGTGTGCAGGAGGCAGCCAGTCGATGAGTCTCTCTCATTGATGTTTCTCTCTCTCCGCCTTCCCTTCTTTCTTTGAAATCAATAAAAACATATTAAACAAACAAAAAGCAGCCCTTCCAGGTAAGAGAGAGTCCCCAGGCCATAGTCATCCCTGAGTCAGGAGCCTGAGGGTTATGACAGCACATCCCCTCCCAGGCCCTGGCCCTTGATCCAGCACTTTCTTTCTACTTAAGACTTCCGGATCCCTGACAGGGAGCACGCACGCACGGCACAAGGAGAGAAAGCATCGAGCGTCTTGGTCTGCCATTCAGCATTCACATTCGCAGTTCCCCCTGGGCTTGCCCCCGCATGGACCCCACTCCAGCCCGGCCCCCAGCACCTGAGTTCATGATCTTCTCTGGCTCTAGCCCAGGGATACAGTGTCCTGTGCCTGCTAGCTGCCCACCGCAGCACAGAAAATGCACACATGAACCCGATTCAGTCATGGGAAAGATTTAAAGGATATTCCTTTTTTTTCCTTTTTGCTTTTTTTAAGTCCCGTTCCCTGAATGAACACAAATATATAGAGATATATATCCTTTTCCTAAGGTTTGATTCCTCCCCCAAGAATAAAATAGAACATTTACAAAACAAAACCCCCCAAACCTCTTAAAAACCCTATAGAGCTTGAATATCACTATTTCTTTAAAAAATAATAATAATAATAAAAAGTTCCCAAAAGCAACAAGAAGAAAATTCAACTGATCTTGGCTCAGGGGTTTCATTCAAAACAACGAACTGGGTGTGATGAGTGGATGAGTGTGTGATGAACAGGAACAAAAGTAAAAAAAAACAAACAAAAAAAAAACAACAGACAAAAATGAAAACACACAGTGCAGGGATATATGAGGTAAACAGGATCTGGCCTTACATTGCAACTGGTCCAAACCAGACACCAGACACCAGTCCGAATCGGCCCGCTAGGGCTGCAGGAAAGCCCTGGGGAGTATTTGCCGCTCTCTTTCCTGATTTCCTTAGCTGTCCTTACAATTCACTTCTCTGAATGTCTGAAACCTGAGTAATTCAAGTGTTCCTTGGTTTTCCCCTGTTTTATTAAATTTTCTTTATATATATGTATATATTTTTTTCTTCTATTTTTGGTGTTAGCTGTGGCTCCTTTGTGGATATTTCCCCTCCCCACCCGTATCTTCCACCACCCCGGCCCTGCCCGGCCCACCTTTCCACACCCTGCCCAGTCTGACCAGCTCCTGGGTGGGGGGCGGCGGGTGGGGAGTGGTGCAGTTAAGGCAATGAATTGTTTGAGGTAGAAGACGTCGGGGGTGCGGATAACCCCGCTGGCCCGGCCTGGCTGCCGGCGCTGCTGCTGGTCCCACTGTTTCCTCCCCGGCTGCTGCCACCACCGCCTTTGCTGGGAGCTGAGGATGGCGTGGAGGCTGGTGGCTGAGCAAACAGCACTCCTGATGCAAGGACAGGAGGAGAGACGTCATGGAGAGTTAAAACATTACGTGACAGGTGCAAGGGGCTCCCCAAGCAATGACTCCCTGCAAAGTCCACCCATGGACCCCCACCACCTCATCTTAGTCTCTGCTTCCTGTGGGGGTCTTTGCCCGGCAACCCAGCTGTTTTGTGTCCCTAGCACCACCTGGTGGCCTCATGAGCAACTGGCCTGACTACATTTTGTTTTTACAAGGAACTTTGAAACACCACTTGTACGGTTCACCAGGAACACAGGTGTTAGAGAGGCAGTAACTCCTGGCACAGTTTAAAATCCAAATATAACTTTAATCCCCAAAACTTAACCACTAAAAGCCTACTATTGACCAGAAGACTTACTGATGACATAAGCAGTTATAAACACATATTTTGATTTTTTTCTTTTTAAATTGATTTCAGACAGGAAGGGAGAGGGAGAGAGATAGAAACATCAATGATGAGAGAGAATCATTGATCAGCTGCCTCCTGCATGCCCCCTACTGGGGATGGAGCCTGCAACTGGGGCATGTGCTCTTGACTGGAATTGAACCTGGGACCCGTTGGTCCAGAGGCTGATGCTCTATCCACTGAGCCAAACCAGCTAGGGCTGAACACATATTTTATATTATATGTCTTATATACTGAATTCTTATAATAAACTAAGCTAAAGAAAAGGAAATGTTATTATTGTTTGTTTTTTGTTTGTTTTTTTACATAGGCCTGTAGAGCTATAAACTTCCCTCTCAGGAGTGCTTTCATTGTGTCCCATAGGTTTTGGATTGTTGTGTTTTCATTGTCATTAGTTTCCAGGATCTTTTTAATTTCTTTTTTCAGAAGGCAGCCAATCGATGGTCCTCTCTCATGGATGTTTCTATCTCTCTACCCCTCTCCCTTCCTCTCTCTCTCTCTCTCTCTCTAAAATAAATAAATAAATAAAATAAATTAAAAGAAAAAAAAAAGAAAACCATCAAGAAAATACATTTCCTAGCCCTAGCTGGTTTGGCTCAGTGGATAGAGCATTGGACTGCGGACTGGAAGATCCCAGGTTCGATTCCGATCAAGGGCACATGCCTGGGTTGCCGGCTCAATCCCCAGTTGGGGGCGAGCAGGAGGCAGCTGATCAATGATACTCTCTCATCATTGATGTTTCTCTCTCTCCCTCTCCCTTCCTC